TGGAAATAATGGCGCCAAAGTGGTCTGATCTTATCCTGTCCACCGACATCCCACACCGTGAAGCTAATATTCTTGTATTCTACTGTTTCTACATTGAAACCTAAACAGAGTAAGAGAGAATGTGCTCAGTTAATAGGAGAAAGATAAATTTATCCATTTAAGATTATGCGTGCACGACCGCAACCCCGATGCCAAGGCCAGAGCCGCCACCCATGGCACGACTGGAACGGGGCTACAAACGGGCCACCCACACATCCCAGAAGGCCCTCCAGACTGCAGAGGTCCCTCCCTCCCTAGACGTAGGGGTGGCGTGGGGGGCAGGCAACAACGACCAGTCACCAGAATCCTATGACAGTGACGAGGGCGAAAACAACCCAATGGTGAGGACCAATTCACCTTTTCCTTTTTCCAATACACCTCACAGCCCCAAACACAGGAAGCCAGGAGGATTTTCAAGCCCTAATACACTCAGGCTGCACTAGATAATTGATCAACCTGACCACAGTCCTGAAACTGGGGATCAGAGCAAAAGACTGGCCCACCCAATCCGGTTCGAACAGGTCGACGGGTCCCTAATGTGGGGAGCCTATGCCACCCACCTGACCGAACCAGTGAGACTACAGCTAATGGATCACTGGGAAGTAATTCGATTCATAATAGCCCCCAAAATCACAGATGCAGTCATACTGGGACTCTCCTGGCTAGACAAGTGGGGACTGATCATCTGGTGGCAAGGGGGTACCCGCAGACTTAGGATAGAAAAGGGCCCCCAACCCCTTCCACGCCAGCAAGCAGAAACACCACCCAAGCAGGGAACCCCCCTCCCCCAAAAAAGAGCTCACCAGAACATCTGGGAGCCACATCAGACAAAACCCCAGAGACTGAACAGGTCCCAGGGGAATATCAGATTATTATGAATCAGTTACAGCATCGTTAGGAAGCGACACAAGGCTTATCAGGGTATTTGGAACGTAACAACTGTAAAGGTTTCGGGGCCCTGACATCCCACTCATTTACCCATTCAGATTGAGAGGAAGGGAAATGTTTCCAAGCAACTAAGCACTGTATTTCCCCGCTATGTTTTCTGGAATCGAGGATCTCTTTGATTTCAAAATGCTGCTCTCCCTTGATGAGGAAGGGGACAGGAGAAGAGGGTTGGGCCAGTCAAAGCGAGGAAGTATGTTCTGGTTTCAGTAAGCTAACATGAAACAGGGTGGATCCTCCTAAGGGTTTTGGGCAACTCTTAACTGTACCATGACCGGGTTCACAATTCTCACAATGGGGAAAGGACGCACATACTTCGGTCCCAGTTTCTTCGACTTCTGGGTAGTCTGTAGGTACTTAGTGGAGAGGAAAACCCATCCCCAATTTGGTATTCTTTTGGCATAACTCTTTTTTTATCAGCCTGTCTCTTACGTGCTTGGTGATCTTCATCTAACGCCTTATGAATGGGCCATATGAACTGAAGTTGTTCAATCCACTCTGCCAGGGAAGGGTTTTGCAGATTCTCCTGGGTCAGTTCCAGGATGTGTACAAAGTCCTGACCAGAGACCACTTTGAACAGGGTAAAACTTGTGCTACTATGTATGGAGTTATTATATGTGACCTCTGCACACGTAAGTCGGCCCAGTTATCTTGCTGATAGTTTACATAGCACCTGAGGTACTGTTCTAGAACAGAGTTAGTTCATTCACAAGCCCCATTAGTCTGCAGGTGGTGGGCGGAGCTTAGACCTTGGGCAGAGCCTAACAACTTCAGGAACTCCCTCCAAAAGTGGGAGGTGAACTGCCCCCCCCGTCTGAAATAATGTGTTCAGGAACACCGTGTAACCTATTCACATGCTGAATATTTATTTATTTATTTAATTGGTTTGTATGCCGCCCACTCTCAAGAGACTCAGGGCGGCTTACAGGTAAAAAAGGAAGGGGGGACATACAGAAAATAAAAAAACAACATTAAAAATTCCACAATGTTCATAACTTAGGATGGGGCTGGATAAATCAACANACTTATCCAAGTGTATCTTCCATAAATCACGATTGATGATCAAGCAATGTTGTACCAAACAAGAAACGCACGAAGGAACGTTGACTCCTGCGACTGGGGTGTGGTAGCATCCGTCCTTTTATCTCCAAACCTGCCCCTAACAAGCCCCAGCTGCATAATGAATCTTGTACCCCGAAAAGACTCACAGCAGACATCTGCTGAGTCACAACAACCTCCTTCCATTCCAGCTAGTTTAGCAAGTACTGAGGGATGCTGGGAGCTGTAGTTCAACACCACCTCCAGAGTCCAATTCATTCTTAGGCCTGCCTGGGAAAGTCAGAGACTGTGCATGCAAGATTCTTGTTTTAAACATGGATAGTGGGAGGGGCCATTTGCCAAAAACAGACGCAGTTTGAAGAGCAGGTTCAGATTTTATCATAAAGGTGAGTAAATTTAGCTAAGACAGCTCAGACAGAAGGGTGTTATTAAAATCCTGAGAGTATATTATCCTGAGATAATAAATACATGTAGTCCTTGACTTATGACAATTAAGCCCAAATGTTCTGTTGCTAAGTGAGACATTTAAGTGAGTTTGTCCCATTTTACGACCTTTCTTGCTACAGCTGGTAAGTGACATGGTTGTTAAGTGAATCTGATTTGTCGGGTGGTCACAAAAGGGGATCACATGACCCTGGGACACTGTAACCGTCATAAATACATGCCAGTTCCCAAGAGTCCGACCATGGGGATGCCACAACGGCTGTAAGTGTGAAAAATGGTCCTAAGTCATTTTTTCCAGTGCCGTTGTAACTTCGGTCACTAAATGAACTGTTAAGTCGAGGACTACCTGTATCCTTCATAACATTTCCATTTGATTCATGCAGTTTAGAAGATTTCCTGGTGCTGTCAATGCAATTCTGGAGCAATTGAATGCTGATGTAGATTAAATGGATTGAAATAGAATGTCCATCTTGCAAACTACCAACAACTCACCTTGTGTATTTTGGAAATAATGGCGCCAAAGTGGTCTGATCTTATCCTGTCCACCGACATCCCACACCGTGAAGCTAATATTCTT